CCCCGAGCACGGCCCCTGGGGCGCCGAAGGGTGGGGACCAGCCCGGGGCTCGAGAGGCGGGGGCCATTGCCAATGGGGGTCCGTCCTCCTCCTCCTCCTCCTCCTCTCCCCTTCTACCTCCTCCTCCTCCTCCCTCCTCCTCCTCCTCCTCTTTCCTCCTCCTCCTCCTCCTCCTCCTCCTCCTCCGCCTCCCCTCCTCCTCCTCCTCCTCCTCCTCCTCCGCCTCCGCCTCCGCCTCCGCCTCCGCCTCCTCCTCCTCCGTCCAGGCGCCCGGTCCTGCAGGATCCTGCCCCAGACCTCCTCGAATGCTGGAAGAGAAATCACGGCGCGAGGTGTTTCACCAGTTGCGGCTTCCGGGGCCCTGTGCCGGCCCTGCTGGGGGCCGTCGAACAGCCGCTCGGGATGAAGAGCCGGTCCTGGGGAAGGGGTCCAGACCTCTGGGGGTCGACGCTGCGAAAAAGTCACGACGTCAGGGGTCTGGGTAAGAGGGTGGCGGGGGAGGGGGGGGGGCGATGTCGCGGCTCGAGGATCGAGGCTCGACGCTCGAGGGCGCGCCTCGTCGACGTTTTGCCCCTGCTGGGGACGGTCAGAAAACCATTCGGGACGAGGGATGAAGAGCCGGCCCCGGGGAAGGGGTCCAGACCTCTGGTGGTCGACGCTGCGCCAAGAGTCGCGACGCCAGGGGTCTGGGTCAGGTGCCCTGGAGCTGCTGTGGGCCCCTGGGGCCATCGAGAAGGCACTGCCCTGGGGCACCTGCTGGCAGGCAGTTTCTACTGTGTCGAGTGGGGGATCGACGACAGAATTGGTTTACCCCAAAATTCGCTTTCTCGTCGAATCTGAGAGAATTTGCAGCAGTCACAGTAGATTGCTGAACATTCTGGGTCTTCGTCGTAGATTCGATGGAGAATCAATTTTGGGGTAAATCAATTCTGCAGTCGATTCCCCACTCGAGTGTGACATGGCGTCGGGGTCTCCCGCCGTGCCGACGCATCTGCCGAGTCTCGCCGCCCTCGCTCAAAGAAGTCGCCCCCCCGGGCTCCTCGCGAGGCGCGCCTCGGCCAGAGAACCTCCCGGCGGAGCCCAGCCGCGGTGGCGAGGGCGCTCCAGCAGGCCCAGGGCGAGCGCGCCGGCAGCGCCCGGAAGCCTGGAGCCTCGATGCTCGAACCTCGAGCCTCGCTCCTGGATCCCAGACCCCCGACGTCACGATTTTCCCAGATCGTCGGCCCCGACGGTCTCGACCCGCTCCCGGGGACCAGCTCCTCTCCCTGGGTCGTCGTTGGACGGTGCCGGGGCCGGGAGAGAGCCCCCGGAGGCCACAGATAGCGAAAAAAATTGCTTGCCGTGATTTTGCACCACGCGAGGGGGTCTGGGAACGTTGCTCATCCTCACTGTCGAGGACCGCCCGTCCTGATTTGCTCCTCACTCCAGGGGGCTCTGGGATCCTCGATCCCCGAGCTGCCGGCGCCTGGCGCGCCTGGCGATCTCGCCCGCGCGCCTCCTCGGTGGCCCACCGGGCGCCCGCGCGGGTGGTCAGGCCCCCACCCCACCCCTGGCGCGGGCCGCCCCAGACGGCCGGCGCCTCGAGAGGTTCGAGGCGGCCCGTTCCCAGACCTCCGACGGTACGGTCCCAGAGATGCTCGCGGCCTGGAGGAAGCAGGGCGGAAGGCTTCTGTTGTTTTTGTGCATGAAAAGCGTGACGTTCCCACACCAAAAATCAATGCACGTACTGGGGTCTCAGGGTCGGGTGTCTTGTGGAAGGTTTCTTGTGGACTGGCCTCCACTGCAAGGACCCCTGGTCACAGTTTTGTTGCTCGAGGGCGGAAGGCGTCGGGCCGTTAAGAGCCTCTGGGGGGCCTCTACTGGGTCCCCAGGGCCGCCAACACCAACAACTCGGGGTGAAGGACCAGCCCCAGGGAAACGGCCCAGGCCTCCGGGGCCCACGCATCCAAAGGATTGGGGCCGTTGGGCGTCTGGGATGGAGCACGTGACGCGAGAAAGCGGCCTGCCAGCAGGTGCCCCACGGCAGTGTCTTCTCCCCAGACGGCCCCAGGGGCCCACAGAAGCTCCGGGGCACCTGACCCAGACCCCCGACGTCGCGTTTTTTTTTCGCAGCGTCGACCCCCAGAGGTCTGGACCCCTTCCCCGGGACGGGTTTTTCATCCTGAGTCGCTTCTTGACGGTCCCGAGGCCCGTGCAGGTCTGGACCCCTTCCCCTGGAAGGGGGGGCTCTGCATCCCGAGCCGTTTTTGTTGCAGTCCTGGGGGCCAGCGAGAGCCCCTGGAGGCCGAAGAAATTGCAACAAAATAGCCGTCGCGATTTTTGTCGCGACGCGAAGGGAGGTCACGGGCGCCGTGAGATCGAGTTCCGACGTCACGAAAATTGTCAACATCGCTCGAAAATCCCACGGCCCTGGACCCTATCTTTGATGGTGCAGTTTCCGAGCCTGGTTGATCCGTGAGGGCCCCGGGGCCCGAAGCAAGGCGAAATCGCCCGATGCGCAAGAATTGCGACGCCAGGATCTCAGAGCTCTCGTGGTTTTCGGGTCAGAATGCGGCTCCCCAGCGGCCGTTCGGGACGATTCTGGCACCCCTGGGACGCCCTCGACGAGTCGCAGCTCATGGAAACCGCCCCAGGCCTCGAAAACCTAGGAGACCTCGCGAAGGCTCGAAAACACGCCACAACTCTCCTCCTGGACGCCCAGCCGAGCCGTCAGAGGGGGGGCGTCCAGGGAGGGGGGCGCAAATCATGGCAGGCGGCACGTGCGCGGCCGAGGGCCGATCGTTCAAGCGAAAAGCTGGCTCGTTCCAGCGAAAATGCAGCCAGCGAAAACTACGCAGAGAGACTCACAGAGACTCACAGAGAGACTCAGAGAGACACAGAGAGACACAAAGAGACACAGAGAGACACAGAGAGACACAGAGAGACACAAAGAAACACAGAGAGACACAGAGGCACACTGGGACACAGAGGCACACAGAGAGACACAGAGGGACACTGAGGGACTCAGAGAGACGCAGAGAAACACAGAGAAACGCAAAGGGACACAGAGAAACACAGGGACACAGAGAAACACAGAGAGACACATAAATACATAGGGACACAGAGAAACACAGGGGGACAAAGAGGGTCACCCGGGCTGGGCGCCCGACAGAGCCGGGAACCGGGATTTCGGGCTTCTCCAGGCTCGATCTCTCCAAAATCCCGGTTCCCGCCATCCCGGCGGTCGCCGCTCGCGGTGGCGGGGGTTCGGGGCGCCCGACGGAGCCTGGAACCGGGATTTCGGCGTTATCCTGGCGGATGGCGGGAACCAGGATTTTTGATATTCCTGTCCGGAACCCGTGGAAAGCCCGGTCCTTGCCAGTTGCTGGGCCCATGGGCGTGGACATCTTGTCCTGCTTGGGCTGCGAAAGAATCATGGTTCCTGCTAGTCGCGGGGCGGGGGAGTAGCCGAGCCGCGGCTCCCGTGCCCCACGCTGCGTGCCCGAGGAGGAGGAGGAGGTGAAGGAGGAGGGGGAGGAGGAGGAGGAGGAGGAGGAGGAGGAGGAGGAGGAGGAGGTGGAGGCGGAGGCGGAGGCGGAGGAGGAGGAGAGGAGGTGGAGGAGGAGGAGGAGGAGGAGGAGGAGGAGGCGGAGGCGGAGGTGGAGGAGGAGGGAGGAGGAGGTGGAGGAGGAGGCGGAGGAAGAGGAGGAGAAAGGGAGGACGAGGGAATATCAGAAAAAGGGGGTCAGGATGAGGATCAGTGGGGAATCCACAGCGCTTCATCCCTTCATCCCTTTTCGCGCGCACGCGCCGAAACGATTTCGCTCGAACGGCCGCGGATTTCGCGCGAACTGTTTTCGCGCGAACGGCGCACTCTCGCGCGCGGCCCGGGGGGGGGGGGCGGGCACGTACAGGAATGAGAAGAGGCGCCACAGAATCAGGGGAGATACCATGGCCCCCGCCATGATCTCTCCCCCCCAGTCATCACCCCCCTCTTTGCCGCCCCCGAGGCTTCCCGGCGCGTCGCGAAAGAGCCGCGACGACCGGTTTGTGGACGCTCTTCGGCCCCCCGCAGGAATTCAATAGACCGCCGAGGGGTGCGGGGGCGTCCAGGAGGAGAGTTGTGGCGTGTTTTCGAGCCTTCGCGAGGTCTCCTAGGTTTTCGAGGCCTGGGGCGGTTTCCATAAGCTGCGACTCGTCGAGGGCGTCCCAGGGGTGCCAGAATCGTCCCGAACGGCCGCTGGGGAGCCGCATTCTGACCCGAAAACCACGAGAGCTCTGAGATCCTGGCGTCGCAATTCTTGCGCATCGGGCGATTTCGCCTTGCTTCGGGCCCCGGGGCCCTCACGGATCAACCAGGCTCGGAAAATGCACCATCAAAGATAGGGTCCAGGGCCGTGGGATTTTCGAGCGATGTTGACAATTTTCGTGACGTCGGAACGCAATCTCACGGCGCCCGTGACCTCCCTTCGCGTCGCGACAAAAATCGCGACGGCTATTTTGTTGCAAGTTCTTCGGCCTCCAGGGGCTCTCGCTGGCCCCCAGGACTGCAACAAAAACGGCTCGGGATGCAGAGCCCCCCCTTCCAGGGGAAGGGGTCCAGACCTGCACGGGCCTCGGGACCGTCAAGAAGCGACTCAGGATGAAAAACCCGTCCCGGGGAAGGGGTCCAGACCTCTGGGGGTCGACGCTGCGAAAAAAAAACGCGACGTCGGGGGTCTGGGTCAGGTGCCCTGGAGCTTCTGTGGGCCCCTGGGGCCGTCTGGGGAGAAGACACTGCCGTGGGGCACCTGCTGGCAGGCCGCCTTCTCGCGTCACGTGCTCCATCCCGAGTTATTGTTTGACGGCCCTGGGGCCCAGTAAACGCCCCCAGAGGCTCAAAACGGCTCAAAACGGCCGCGAGCATCTCTGGGCTCTGGGACTCCCCGAGCCTTTCTGGCAAGTTGCCCAAGCCTCCCCCGACAACCGCCGCCCCCCTGGCGCCGCCCGGCGGGCCGCGGCCTTCTCTCGCGCCTGCCGAGGCCCACCGGCACCAGCACCCCCGGCGAGGTGGGTGCGGAGGACCCCAGCGTCGGCGTCGTCGTCGTCGTCGTCGGCGGCGGCATCGGCGTCGGCGTCGTCCTCCTCCTTCGGCGTCGTCGTCGTCGATCCCAGACCCCCTCGACGAGTTATGAAATCACACCAGCAAAGCACCCTTCTAGCAGCTAAGGCGTGAAGATTCCCAGATGTCCCAAAGATGCTAGCGATGAGGATGATCTTGCTGATGATGCGTACGATGATGAGGAGGAGGACGAGGATGAGGATGAGGATGAGGATGAGGATGAGGATGAGGATGAGGATGAGGATGAGGATGAGGATGAGGATGAGGATGAGGATGATGATGATGATGATGATGATGGATGATGATGATATGATGATGATGTGATGATGATGATGATGATGATGATGATGATGATGATGATGATGATGTCATGATGATGATGATGATGATGATGATGGTGGCGTGATGATGATGATGATGATGATGATGATGATGATGATGATGATGATGATGATGATGATGATGATGATGATGATGTCAATGATGATGTCAATGATGATGATGATGATGATGATGATGATGATGATGATGATGATGATGATGATGATGATGATGATGATGATGATGATGATGATGATGATGATGATGATGATGATGATGATGATGATGCGGATGCTGGTTATGAGACGGGGCCAGGGGCTGCCTGGTGGCCGCCCACACGCCTACAGGGCTCATTTCGGCCCCTCCGAGTCCGTTCGACTCGATCTCGACGGCCTCCGATTCCGATCCGACCTCGGATTCCGACTTGGGCTACGATTTCTCAACGGGGGCCTGACCAGCCTGCCGATTTTTGCGGAGGATCGAAGAAGAGAAAACGGCACAATCATGAGCTTTCGGAGCTCCGCGCGAATTTCTTGTACTGGCGTTGGGCCCCCTGGCGGCGCCTCCTGCGCCGCCCCTAGCGCGCTCCGCGCGCCAGGAAGGGGGGTCCGGCGCGGACCCAAAAAATCCGCGCGGACCTTCGAAAGTTGATGTTTATGCCGTCGTTAGTTCCTCTACAGGAGACGGGGTCGGGGGTTGCCCATGGGAGGACTCCGATCCCAGTCCCCTCGAGTCATGGGAAAGTCACGACGGAGGGGTTTTCGCTGTTCTCAGCCTCTGGAGGCCCTTGCCTGGCCTCGGGACCGTCAAGAGGCGACTCCAGGGGAATGAAGAATTACATAAACATACAATGTCGGAGGTCCGCGCGGATCGGCGCTGGACCCCCCTCCCAGGCGCGGAGCGCGCCAGGGGCGGCGCCGGCGGCGCCGCCAGGGGGGGTCCAGCGCGGATCTGAGAAATCCGCGCGGACCTCCGAGGTTTTCTGTTTATGTCATTCTTCGTTCCCCTAAACTCAGATCGAGAATCCGGTCCTGGGGAGTGGGTCGAGGGTCGAGATTAGGGGGCCACCTGCGAACCCTACCCCTACCCCCCACGATTTCTGAGGGGGAGGGTGGGGTTCACTTCGTTCGGGAGCTCCCGAGCGAAGTGAACCCCACCCTCCCCCTCAGAAATCGTGGGGGGTAGGGGTAGGGCTCGCAGGTGGCCCCCTCGAGACTTCTAAGGGCCAACGTCGGGAAGAAGTGGTGTTCGGCCGCCCTCACGCCGAGGAGGCCCTGCCCAGAGGAGCTGCCCGGGAGCCGCGAGCGAGCCTACAGGGAGCCCAGGGAGCGCTTACCGTAAGTCGGGCGTGGCCCTCTACAGGAAGAATATTCAAACATAGCTTTGGAAAATAGTCTGGGGACGATGTGCTTTATTTTTTGTTGACAACGTTGGGGCATGTTTGGCCATATGCTTTGTTTCCTCCGAAACCCGCCTGCAGGGGGACACGCCCGACCTAACGCTAACCAAGGACTTCGCGAACGCTTGCGGCACAGTACCGTGAACGAGTAGGGAAACGCTTCCCGGACCAGCTAGAGTGTCCGCCCTGGGAGGACTCCGATGGAGGAGGAGGAGGAGGAGGAGAAGGAGGAGGAGGAGGAGCAGGAGGAGGAGGACGAGGAGGAGGAGGAGGATCCTGGCGCCGCAACTTGTTGACAGCGGGCGAGCCCGCCCTGCTTCGGGCCCCGGGGCCCCACACGGGTCGACCCGGCCCGACAAATGCCGCAGAAGGAGGGCGGGGTAAGTCTAGGCCTCCTTCGTGGGGTCGGAGCCGATGGGGTCGGAGGATCGCGCCGCATCGCCGATGCACTGGCGATGCATCGGCGATGCGGCTCGATGTGGTGCCCAATTTTCTCCACGCCGACGTCGCCGATGCATCGCCGACGTCGCCAGTGCATGGCCGATGCATCGCCGATACATCGCCGATGCACCGCCGCTGCATCGGCGATGCGGCGAGATCCTCCGACCCCGTCTACCCCGACCCCATCTAGGAGGCCTCTAGTGAGGACGAGGATGACCGTTCCAGAGCTTTCCGGGCCGTGCCAGAGCGTTCCGGAACCCTCTCAGAGCGTTCCGGAGCGTTCTGAGGAGGCCGCGCACCCGAGACAGCCTCCGGAGCCGCCAGATTTCAGAGATTCCCGAGTTATCCTCGCCCGATGTTATCCTCGTCTTTGCTTCGTCTTGGCCCAGGGTCTCCGATTGGAGGGCTCCGACCACAG